ACCCCAAATCGTATGGTAGGTTCTGTGCTGACACCCTCTGTTTCTAACAACAGCTAATTGCCTGTACCTCAATAACAGAAAGCATTGTATTTCAGGCTTCTTTTGATATTAAATACTGAAAGGACTCAAACTGTCCTCCCCCTACACACATCTGCAAGCCACCTTTGTGAAAGCCAATTACAGGCCATGCAAACATGCCCCGGGAAACACAGGCCCATGTACGCGGCTGAGCAATCAATGCTCAAGCTGCTACCTTGACGGAAAACCTGCTGCAAATATGACACTCGCTCACTTCTGAGGGAGCACGTTTCTCTCAATGAGAAGCGATGACGTGAAGTTGAACTCCCTCCCGGTATTCCCCCACGCTATTCCTGCTTGAGACCGCCTCCCATGCAAACAGGTCGCATAAGCAGGAGGCAGGGAGCTTGCCGAAGGACCGCAGAGTCACACCTAGTAATGAATTTGCCACACGGCTGTCTTTCTGCACGTGAGTGATTTGTAGCTCTCAGGCGACAGAGGTACGGTAACTTTTTAATAGGAAAAACAGGCGCCGGTGCTGCACCCAGCACTTTTGTTACACTCCGGGGAAGATGCGTGGAGGGGGAAACAAGAGAAAATTGACCGTTTGTGACCGCCGAGTTTTTAAAAAGCAGGGAAGAGGCAGGCAAACGTCAAACTACTGCACACAGCAGTAGCGTCCCTGAAATTTCTGCTCACTTCTTGATAAGCAAGGCCCTTATGAGCTTGGGGTGCTGCGAACAGTGAAGTTTAAAGCTTAATTGCAAATGGGCAAATAAGAGGTCAACTTCCTTTCAGGTTGGAGGGTTTTGTCCCACCAGCTGTGGAGGGGGTGTATCCCTGCCAGCCTGAAACCCCCTTATCACAAACAGCAGCCCTACACACAGCAACATACCAAATTTATCTGCCAGCCTCACGCTCTGCTTGGCAGAAGCACAGCAAAGATATACTGACCATGGAATCTTTCTCCCCTCTCCCTTCCTTTCTTCTATACATTAACCACAGCCACATTGCTGCCCTGGGCAGATTTGTGCTGGGGTCTCTCCAGGGAGTGGATGACAAACCATCTCACTGGTGCACCGGAGACTGAAAAGTCTCCTGCAAACCCGACCCAACTGTTTTGCAGCTGCACACAAAGGGATTTTGTTGCAAAGATCAAGTGATGCCAAGTGCAAAAGTACGAAAGTAACTGTTATTTACTTTTAGGATCTGTAAACCTTGATATTCTGGAATTTCAATATTTATAAGCCCATTTACAGGAGTACAAAGACCAACACCTTTAGCAACAGGTGATGATTTGTGTCCTTTGTCTTGCTATTTGACACCTATTTTTCGAAGGCAGAAGAGCCTGAACAAAATCGCTTTTATCACTATGGATCCTGAACTGCTGCCCAGTGAGCACTCTTTAAGTGCTTCACAGCTGCTCCATTGTCTCCAGCAGGTTCTGAAGATGAACAGTACCTAAAAAGGCCCCATAAAGCCACAGTGCTTCCACCTTGCATCCAAAGCTCAGCAGTGCTCTTTTACCCCCATGCATGACCTGAAGTCAAAAGTGCATTTTCAGATCTATCAAACAGGTTCAGAACAAGCTTAGTACCAAGCCTATTGCAAACACCAGGAAAAAACACCTCAGATGATTTTGGAGGTCTTCAGATCAGCTGTTGTAACAAACACATTTGTAAAAAGGATGAAGAAAGAGTACTTAGAAGAATTGTGGGATCAACAACAGAAATGCTCCAACTGAAGCTGCAAGGCTGATCACCAGTTTGCACAGCGGTGCTAAGCTGAGCAAAGGTAGGACTAGTCCCTACAACTTGAAGACTTGAAGTCCAGAGATGCAGAAAGCTGATCAGCAAATGCCTTTGTTTATATTTGTATGACTTCCTATGGCTAAAAGCTGGGTTCTCATCTGAACTGGCCGACCCTATTCCCTCCCTCATATCTGGGAACAGCTACGCATTACTGAGGAGCAATTAACTCCCACCGTTTTGGACCTCTGTTTTAAGGTGAGAACTGGAGATACCTATCAGCCTCCACTGGTGACAAACGGAGCTTGGATAATGACCAGAGACTAGATGTGCAACTTCCAGAGGGCTCAAATTAAGCAAGGGAAATCCCACCCTGTGCCTTTTAGCTCACTCGGGGTTTATGGGCACGTCAGCTGCCAGAATTCAACGGAACAGCCTCTGATGGGTGAAGACAAAGGTGCTGGCAATCCTCTTGTCACCTCACCGTCTTGCTGGTTGGTTTTGTACTTAGATAATCCTTGCTACATAGTGACGTGGCAAACAAAGACAGCAGTCCGTGGCAATCTTGTTCAAAAAGTACATATATTTAATAATGATAACAAATACAATTTTGTCCCCTGGAATTTCCACTACTGTATTTCAGAAAGTCCCTCCTATGGTCACTGCAGTTTGACTGTACATAGCTACTGTCTAAGCTGGATACATGGTTATGTTTTAGCAGTGTAGTACTCATATATTCTCTGTAAATATAATAAAAGATTTAACATTTCTGTTTTCATTCTGATTCTTACACATATTTACTGGGTTTTCACAAAAAAAAATACATGTCTCTTTCCTGCCTCCCCCAATCTTTAATGGGTTCCAAATTAATCGGGTTTTATAACTTCTCTCTCTGTCCTGTTTCTGAAGTGAAGCACAGGCCCATGCTTGTAAAAAGCAAGTATGACTGCACCAATATCTGTCAGGAGATGATTTAGTCCACTTAATACTTTACTTTCTGTCCCCCAACATTTTATTGGGTTCCAAATAAACCTGAGTTTGTAATTCAAGTCAGTATCTGCCATCTGTTCAGGTATGCAAATCCGACGCACGCAAAAGATGGGATTTCAGTGGTCCCCGCACACCAGCTTTGCAGCACAAACATGTTCTTAGCATGAAGAAAAAGAAAATGCTTTGATGATTTTAAATGAAAGAAAGAGCTAAAATGTGCCCCTGGGATGCACAGGTACTCTCTACAAACAGACGATGTCATTTTTCAACCTGAAAGTGAGTAAAAATTACTTCAGGGCTGTCTTTCTTATCACATTGGGGTTTTTATGTATATTATTTTAGAGGCAGCTTAACGACCCCAGAGGCGGGTGTCCTCACTACACTGAAGAGTACAAGACGCATATGGACTCCTTCATACTGAACTGACGGGCGGCTTCAGTGCCGAGGTGAAGGTCCCATCTGCAGGGATGAGAAGGGCGCTCTGGGCATTCACGCTCTGCTGGTTTTGCCAGCAAGCACTCAAAACACTTAACAGGCCAGTTATCTGTTCTGTCAGTATTTGGATTAACGACCCATTTTTTTTCTTGCAGATTTTGATGTAAGACTGAGAATCGGGAACATGCGCTCACAGCTACGGGCTGTGCTGGAGACCTCCTGCCCTGCCTCTGCTGGCCCTCCTCCCCCAGTCCCTCCGCGTCTCTCTCATCAAAAGCTTTTCAAACAGGGGAAACTCAGCGTTTCCACAGACACCAAAGGAATGGGGCAACAAAATCGTTTGCAAAAATATTGATAAAAACAGGGCTTGGATTCCTACCGATGGTCTCGAGGCAAAAACCCTGTCTTCCAGCAACAACCCCAAGAAGAAGACAATGCCTCTGCTGCCTGGGTTTTGAAAGGACATTAAGTGGGTGGGCGGCAGTGGGACATATGCGGGCCAGGGCTGCCTGCCTGGGAACCAGACTGGAAAAAGCTTTGTTGAGATGTCCCATACACACAAACACATACGCAAGAGTGCTACAGACGAAAGAAAAGAGTAGTCTTTGGCTAAACCTTCTAATTTATAGGAAATGGTTTGAAGACAAAAACAGAACCAAAAAAATGTTGCCAACCTCTCAGATGTATCATTTACTTAGAAAAACAAGACCGGTATGCAGAACATGGTGCCTTTTAAGAAAGTTAGTCTTCACCGCTCATAACAATACTGAATTTTTGGTAACCACTGCATTACCAATCTTGCAGTATAAAATGGCATTGGTACAGGTTCGTGTGTCCTTTATTAGTCTTTTTAATTCACTGCAGTCTCTCAGAAAAGCCTTCAGGTGTGTCCAATGCTGCCTTGCTGTAACAGGGGCTAATGCAGTCCTGCACGTAGGCGCGCCATGGAACTACTACGACTACAAAAATCAGAGGTGAAGGGATTGTTTAAACACAGCGTGTTGCAATCTGCATTACTGTTTGAAGCATCCGCTTGCAGGCCCATCACATGAAAGGAACAGGCCTCTAGTGTGGTAAATTTCCACGTGATGAAATTTGTTTTTGAATAGTAATGTTTCTTTTGAGTGACATCATTAAATCACCATTTTCTTTAGGAAAAAATGATTCTGTTATTAGCTACTTTATGCAATTAACAGTAAAATCTGCTTTCGCTTCCAATTATGCCACTTTTTTCTGAATGTTTAGATCACTCGTGTCTTTATTCAAGCTTCTACCAACTTAATCTTGGCAGTGCTTGTTAGCAAGTTGCCTTTGGATGTAGTATCTTGAGTTTTTCCACTTGTCTAGCCACGTGAACAATGCCTCTAGAGGTACCACGTACTGTGTGGCACAGGCAGATGGAGCACGGACAGTCTTACCACAGATCCCGGCTGGGACCAGCATTCATGGCACCACGCAGACTACCTTGATGAATCAAACCATTAATGCTCGCTGTTCTTCCAATCAACCTTACTGCAATACTAGATGAGAGCAGTGAAAATACATATTCACGTAGCTCTTTCAAGACATGTTTTACTGTACAGTCAGATGCCAAATGCTAATATATCTTAACAGCACAAGCAGAGCCCTTTTCTTTCAACTTTAACATGTAGGACAACGCCTTCCTTACAAGCAGACCTCTGATTTTCTACGTTGGACCACTGTAGTGTATTACATAGTGACAGTAAAATGCCTGTGGCTTTCCCTTCTTGTTTAAAGTAAAAAAAGTTAGGTCCCAGAGAACAGCAGTGCAAATCCCGAGATGTCAGACTAACACTGGCCGCTGACAGCATCTGCTGCATTGAAGGAAATCTGCGTGGGGCTCATCTGCTGCAGCTGAGGCATCCTCGCTTCCAGCGGCTTGTCGCTCGCCGACTGCATTGTCTGGTTCCTCTTCCGTAGCATCTGTCCGATCCCCATCATGGGGAATCTGCCTCTGCTTTTAACACAGTTAGGGCTGCCCAAGGGGTTGTTGGAAACCAGCTGAGTAGGGGACACTGCTTCTTCCTTTGCTGGATACGCTTTTTCTTCGTACGTGAAAGAGACTTGGGTGGGGTGGACGGGGGACGTGCTCCCTGGCTGAAAAAGCGGGGACAGTGTCCTTTCACTTGAGCTTTTGTAAGGGAAATTCATTGGCGAGCCTAAAATCCTGTACTGATGAGAAGGGGAAACCTGGTCTATTTGGTCCTCTCTGTCAACCGACTCGAAGGAGTGCACAATATTCAGGATGAGAGGAGAGTCCTTCGCCCGGCCCCCGATTCGGGCCGGCTCCTGCTGCGGGGACTCCTGCCTCTTGAGGAGCCGAGGGGTTCTGGGGGGCGGCTGCTGGACTTCGAGGTACTCCAGGGAGCTGGAAGTGACGCAGCCCGTCTTGTTTGCCAGGGGTTCGTGGAAAGGGCTTACCCCACCGCTGGAGTCTGCAAAGCAATCAGAAAAGGAACCAGAAGAGCAGATTGCATTTAATAGCGCTGCCTTCTCTGCTTTAAGGCAGACAGCATCTGACATCACCTTTAACAAGTTTTAGAAGAGCGTGATAAATGCACCGGCTAAAACAAATAGTCTTAGGGACATACTTGGAACCTAACTCCCTGACTCTTATTTGATACTTACGTTGCTGTTTCATGGGTAATTTATCTGCCACTTTCCTCAAAGGCAGAAATAGTGCTTAAACTGAGTAAGACAAGGACATGAAATGAAAAACCACAGATGTCTTCAGCTGTTTGTATTAATTATATCCTCTAAGGCCATGTCTGAGAAATCTCACATTTCCCCCTTCTTAGCACAACTTTGCATGGTTTTAACTGGGTCTGCATACTGTATTCACTGACATACCTAGAGACACAGGGGACAACAGCGAGTTAATTCCTAATGTCTTTCCTTGCATTTTGGAACAAAATCTGTTCTTGGTTTCACACTTGTAAATATGGAGTAGCTGCACCGGCCAAATTCAGGCTGTTACAGTTGGAACAGATTTGCTGCATCGACTTCAGTGAGAATCTTTCCCCAGCAAGGACCAAATATAAATGGAACAATCTTTGCAGGATTTGGCCCAGTAAAACCAAACAGCTCGTGGAGAAGATCTGCTCAGTTTCTACAGGATGCTGGCACTCGCTTATGCCAAGCTAGTTGCAAGAACAACACGCTTTGCTGCCTTTATGGAAAGCTATCCAAGGATCCTGCTTTGCTAGGTTCCCCCTAAGTGAAAGAATAGCGGACCGACAGTTAATCACTGTCCATGAGTTCCTCAGTCTCAAACAATCTAAAAGAGATATAAAGTAATTTAGGTCTGCCAGCCCTCAGGTCACAGCCACAAATCTCACATGTACTTCTTCTGAAAGGGATGGTCTTGGCAGGGGTTGAGACCTGAATGGGTGCGCAGGATGAAATCACTCACATTGAGAGTTGTTTGGGAAAAGCAGACCAGGTTTAATCAGACTAGTTTCTTTCCAAAACTAGTCAAAAATATTTGACCGCTTCATTTAAGACACGTCAAAACATGGTTTCCATAAGCAGAGAAATGCTTTAGCTGAGATCTGAATGATTTTCAGGTTTCAGTTCAAAAAAGCAGGAGAAACTTAAAGAGGGAAAAAAACGAATTAGGTCTACTTCCCCCTGTGCCTCCCACCTAAAAGAAACAACAAATCTGAGCAAAATGAGCTTTTTAAAAGTTTTTTATATTTTTCATAAAAAGTACATCCCATTTCTGACCAGCTCTCTGGACTACTGGCTACCTTGCAGCAGAGGGACCTATGCTGCCAGATGAACATCATTTTGCCATTCTTTTCAGGTAGAAAGTATCAAATGATAAATTATCAAGTCACAAGGAAGAGCATGAAACCACCATAAGCCACCACTCTAAATAACCCCCTGACACCGCAGTAAATGTTTTACAGGGCCGTATTTCCCCCCTCTGCTCTGTAGTGACCTCCCCTCCTTTAGTTCCCTCAGTTAACAGCTAGCTACATCACCTTCCTGCTCCTCAATGTCTCCCGGCCACACTTACACTACTGAGACCCCATTTTCCCCGCTGACTCCCCTTTTCCTCCACTCCTTTCTTCCGCCTCCTTTTGTGAGCAGCTCTCACCCATCCCTTCCAGGCTGCCTCCTACCCTGTGTGATTAATGCTCTGCTCTCCCCTGGCTGTCTCGTCTTTTCCTTTCCCCCTTAATGCTTTTCCCCCTCCTTTTGCTGCCTGAAATTTGCCGGGGTTGGCAGTCCCACCCGCATTTCCTCTTGGCTGCCTACTTCCCCTTCCTCCACCACCAGCTGCTGCCCGCTGCTTCTCCCAAGGATGCCGTCATTACCGGCACTCTCCTCAGGGTCAGGGATTTCTTCCCATCCTGCCCCTTAGTCCCCTCTTAGCAAAACGCGCTTGCTGGTAGGAAGAAGCATCTCTGCCGGTTTTGGTTTGTCAGTGATCTGGGGTGGGTGTTGATGCTTTCAAAGCACCAGTGTGAAGCGCAGATGATTTTGTATAAGTACATATAAATAGAGAAAGAAAGCTTTTTTTAAAACACTGTGGGAATTCTGTCATATAAAAAGAGAAGTAAAAGTGAGCACTCGTGACTGCTGAACATCGTCATGGTTTCCTCAGGATGCTCCGTTCAATGTTTGACTACGTTATCCAGTCCTCTTTCACATACCACCCCCAGAGCAGACAGCAAATGCAAGTCCACGACTATTTACTAACAAACACACAACACACAAGATGCTCTCATTAATACTGTGCGTGCCCACGCATGCACATGCGCACAGGGACACACCACTGGTACTTCTCCCACTGACCTTTCTCCGGACCTCCAGCCTTGGTGACTTTCCGGTCCTTCAGCGCAGCCTTGGTGTTCTGTATCTGCGAGATAAGACAGGAAGAAGGCTGTCTATATGAAACTGGACTTTTCTCAGTTTTCTTTGGGAGCTGACGGTGAAGAATCTCCCCTTTCTTTTCTTGTTCTTTGAGTTTTTTGTCCTTTAAGTTGTAAAACAAACAAGAACAATTTGGTTTACTTAAGGGAAATATAATGACCCCCAGACTTAAAAGCACAACACTTACCGAAGCTGAATTAAAACCCATACATTTGAACTTATCCTGGCTACTCAAAATAACTAAATGTCTCATTTTCCTCTGATCTGTTTGACATGATTTCATGGCTCCCATCTGCTCTGACACTCATGCAGGGTGAAAGTTGGTTTTGGAAAATGGAAGGAAAAAGAAAGCTTTCTCTTCAGAGGCCATTGGTCCTAGGAGACCTTGCTGGAGCAAGTAGATGCAGGTTCGTGCTCCTTCATACCTGAAATTTCCTTCCCCATTTAAACACCAAAAAAAGGTCTTTGATTCCTCTTTATTGCACTTCCGCTGACATTTGAAAAGGTGAGCAGCAAAGTTTTAAAGAAAATTACTCTTTAAGTAATTTATCTTCTGTCCAAACTAGAACTGGAAGAATACAGCTCTTGCTTTTATAGCATCTCTGCAACTGCACAAGACATGGAGGGGGAGGAAATTACCAACCCAATCCTTCACTGAACTGTTAACACCTTTTCGTGATTGGGAAGGCAGCTGATGGTGGGATTGCAAGCGCACACATCCTAAAAGCTAGGGTTGATCTCCAGCGATGACAGAAGTAAAACAGAACCTGGGAGTGGAATCTGAAGAGGAATCCAATTTTCAAAGCACTGGTTTACAGTGAAAATTATTGTATCTTTTTTGAACATGAATCACTAGATTCTGCAAGCTGTGTAACACTCTACCTGGTACTGATTTCAAGGCGAGCCAAAAGTCTTGTTTCAATTCTAAAAATCAGGCATCAGATTTGCAGCCCATATTTTGTTATCCTTCAAAGACTTTAAGAATCTCTCAACTTTCTGGAACAAATCTGTGTGGTCTGGTTTTGGACGTCAGTCTCAAAGAAGTGGGGCTTTTGTTTTGGTTGCTTTGGGATTGTTTGTTTAGAGGGGCATCTATGTGACATTCTTTGTGTGGTTGTAATTCTCATTTAAGCAACATGTTTCGCTGTGCCTTATTGAAAAGTCACTGTAAGTACGAGATTTTTTTAAAAAATGCAGAGAAGTTCCTTCACCCAGTTATGTGCTGAGGCCTGTATTTTGTCTGATAATTATGCACTGCCCAAGGGCTGGCTCTCTTGATGATTTTCTTTTGAAAGTTCATTGACATGAAGTCTATCAAAACCCTCAACTGCAAAACAAGGTGTATACATGTGAGAGAGGGAAAGAAAGATGCAGAAGACAACTTGGATTCTCTTGGGCCACTACACAGCTCCGGAAACGTTAAGACATGTAAGAGGAAAATACCTGGATGGCACATGTTATGATCTTTCCCAGCTCAGTATGAGTCTAAATCCCCACACAGAGGGTGTCTGGGCACCGCTGGGCTCATTAACCTTCGAATTCTCAGAAGTTACAGAGTCAGAAGGAAGAGCTTCAGTGAATCATGAACTAGGGTTTTTAGTTTTATTACAGAAGCGGTTAGGTGACTTGGTTAGGAGCAAGAACCACAGACCGTCTCTGAGGTCCTCATCGTCTTCACCTCAGTCTCCCTTCTCACATACGTTTTTTGTTCCCATTTTTCTCTCCATCTGTCCCTTATCCCCTCCAACTTCTTTCCCTTTAGCTAGCTAAAGCTGACTAACCCTTCCACACAAACAAACCCATGCATTCTGGAGCTGCCATCACTTTGCTTGCATGATACCTCTTTGTCCACCTGATGTCTTTCCCCTTGCCTTTGGAGGCTGTAAACACCTCCGGCACTGAGCATTTATTCCTCCCTGCCTATGCTGTGCTTGGAACAATGCAACATCTGATCGGTCCCAGGTACTACCGATGAAATAATAACAACAGTAATAACAACAATAGCAATAATAGTAACAATGCTGTGTGAACAACAATAAAGTCAGTGGGAGCTGTACCGTTAATTTGGAGCCCACCACACTATTTTTCCTCTCAAGGCTCTGAAACTCTGCTGCCAAGTTCAGCAGAGACTGGGCTCTACCGAGTATCTTTTTTTAAAGGTACTTGTGAGGATGAGACCAAGTGGTGACTATATTAAGCCTAAAGGAGACGATCAAGTTTGTTAGCTGCTTTCTGCTATTTTGGATAGGTGAGGAAAGAATTTGCATGTCTGTTGCTGCAGCATCTGTCAGAATGCAGGACGTTTCAATGCTGCAATATTTTTAGCCTAATGGTGAAAGAGCCAAGCCGCAGCTCCTCACCTGCCAAGTGCCCCTGACTTTGCCTTCACACTGCTGTTATCTTTTCTAAGCAGCAGTAATATGGTCATACTGTACAATAAAAGCACCCATGAAAAAGAAAATTCACATATCCACTGTTAGCAATTAACTAGTTCACCCCAGATGAACGTTGCAAATAGTTTTATAAGTATTTTTTTAAGCTTACTAACACTGCTTCTCTTAGACGACGGTTGTGAGAGGGGAAATGACCAAAATCCAAAACTCCCAATGTGCCATATAGTATTATATTTTAAAAGGAAAGGAAGATTTCCTTCAGGGGAGTTATAAAAGTTCGCTCTTCACTGTACTGTGCACAGCCATGTAATGGCATGCTGTCACACAATGCAGGAGTTGTACCGGTATGTTATATTTGAATAGGTTTGGCATTACATCATCCTCTGCTATTTCCTGTCCTGACCTCGACCCGAAAACCTTCTCTTAGTCCCAGCAACGGATTCGAAAGGAAGATAAAGGGTATTTGCCTTGGCCATGTCTGCAATGGTGATAGGACAATGACACAAGTTCTTAAAAATTGCAAATTCCCCGAGTCTGAGCCCACTATCTACCCTGCGGGAGGCAGACACTGGACCCACGGATTCACTGGAGGGACGGCCGTTCATCACTTGAGGTCTCTCCAGCAAAAAGAAAGAGATGGAACGAGACTGCTGCCTCCCTCCTCCCTGTGCTGCTCATCTGCCCTGAGCACTACAATGAAATCAGCCTGCAAAACAGCCTGGTTACTCAGCGCTGACAGCGGCTCCCAGCACCCTCAGCCTCGGCACGCTGATCCCACCGCCCCAGGTTAGGAAACCTAATGGAGAAGAGGGGCTGGGCACGACCACTGCCCGTGTGCCCTGCTGCCTGCCCCAGAGACAGGCAGTGCTGCTGGCAGGCAGCCCCCGTCCGAAGCAAAGTCCGTATTTCACATTGCTGGAGTGAAGCCAAAGAAATTCAGCTGGCTGCTGAAGCTGACCAGCTCTCTCCCTTGCTATTCCCATGGCAACGCACAGCTACGCTCTTCGCTCTTCGTGCAGTGTCTGCCTAGGGTCCAGTGCCTCCCAGTTCCCCTCTGGAAATGAGGGATGATAAGGGGACTCTTATCTACAGTTCACAAACCTGCCTGAGCTTACAAAATCTGCATCGCTGAGTCCCAGTGGCACCCACTGATCCCAGTGGCAGGAGCTAGACACTCCCTGGGCTGTGTTCTCATCCCCATCAAGGCATTTTAGGAGAGATGTCTACCATAGTCACAAATGGCAGTAGCATCCCAGGGTCTGTATTCACCCACGTGTGCTGCTTCAACTGTCCTGGTACGGTAAGGGTAACACAATCCTTTTGTGTAAGTACAGCTGAAGTGATATAAAACATGCTTTATACTCAGCTGTGCCCATGCAGAAAGAGAATATACTGTATTATTATCATGGTGTCTGCACTGTGATTGCATCAAGGTAACTATTTCAAGAAAGAAATGACACCCCCTCATCCTCTAAATAGCTCCATAGGGACTAACTCTGAGTGCAGGAGAGGCTTTGGAGGGAGCCTTTATCCCTAAGCATGCCTATAAACCAAACTGGGGTCATACAGTGGCACTACCGTTAGTTTTCAACTTAGAGAAGTCAAACATCAGTTCCCGTCTAGGGGCACGGGGACTTCAGGACCACCACCAGACCAGACCATGTGTTTCTGTCACAGCTACACGCAGGTGCACAGGCAGGCTTTGCTGCAGGCTCCCCGGCACAGGTTAGGTACGCAGAAGCTATACGATAATGCCTGGATGGCCTGTGGTTCTCGGTCACTGCACAGAGGAGTGACACCAGCAGTCGGAGGAAGCTGGCCCAGAGAGCACCAGGATGCACCATGCGACATCTCCAGCGCTCACCTCCAGATACCTGCCTGTGTTTCCAAGGGAAGGTTGCCCTGCAACAGCTTGAAGTAAGCTGTCATAGAGCATTTTGAAATATTATATTCATTGAGTCTACCCACTGCTGATACATTTTAAGTAAAGTGGGTTTTGATTTATGTTAGAAAAGAATGATAAGTACTTTGCCCTGATATTTCCATCTGGCTTGCAGTTCAGCTTGTCTTGCAAGCAGTCTTTAAAATAAACAAAACCAGCCATGATACAAATCTGCCCCTGCAATTAGATCATCAATCCGGCGCTGAAGAGTGGCTTTTGAAATAGGTATACTCTTCAGGAATACTGCTCTTTGTGTTGGTAGGTAAGACTCGCGCAGCTCGTATTACTCTTGTAATTCTAGTGCTTGGTAAGAATTGGCCAGGGAAGAAAAATCCAGCCATGAGAAGACTCCTATTATCTCTATTATCAGATATGTATTCTTTTAATACAACCTTCTCTATTTGCAGGCAAAAAGACTGGAGATCAACAGAGCAAAAGATAACCTGGTTGAATCTTTTCTCTGGCAAGGGAAGTCCCTCATGATGCAGTGGGCTAGTTATACATCACTTCTGCTAAGAAGCAAAAAATAGTAACCTGGGCAGAGTTTTGTGCTAATACAGTTTCACCATTTCTGGTAGTTAAGCCAGGGTTGGCCCAGGACACCAGGAACGCCAGGTGACCAGGTCACCCTGGCTGTCACTCAGCTCTCTGCCCTACCCCACCACTGTCTTGTACTAAAGACAACGCAGTTATGGTCTGCTTACGACACCAGCACCTTGCACCCTAGAATGAAACTATGGAACCCCCTGAAGAAGGTTTTATTATTTTGCTAAACGGAGCACTTAAAACTTTTATTTTCTTCATAAAAGCTGAAAGTCACTTTTTACACTTCCCCTCTAGAGGGTTGCTCTTTGTTCCTTAAAAAAAAAAAATTAAGGGGATTATTTGTCCGGCACAAGCAAGACCACAGGTAATTTTTGTCTCCATAGGTCCAGAAACCCATTGCCTTAATTGCAATCACCAGGTATCCTCAAATTCAGTCTGCCTTCAAAGTACCTTAACAAGCTTTAATGAGCTTTACCTCATAGGAGTCTTTATTTGCCTTGTATTTTTCTATCTGGTATAGTTGGTTCTTGTGGCAAATGTTGTCCTGGCCTTCAGACTTCTGCGGAGAGAGAAGCACAGAAAAGTACAGTATGTAAGATAATTGGAGAAAACTAACCTTCAACTACTGCTTAATGGACCGTATCCACTCTTGGCATTCAGTGGAGGTGCATCAACTTACAGAGATGGTGAATTTCAATGTCATTGATGGCACCATCATTAAAGCAAGCTTGCTAAAAGAACTGAGAAAAGAAAAAAAACTACGAAGCTGTTGTCAGATTGGAAGGCCGTCGGGGATAATTTCTCTAAAGAAGCAAACATTAAGAAGACAACTCCATGCAACGCACCCTCCTGCCCATGCAATCACCTAGGAGCCTACAGACCCTCAACTACTTGAGACTCCTCACCAGAGCACAGGCAGCTGTGTGGAGAGGCCATGGGAAGAGAGCGTGCAGCTTGTCTTTGTGCACTGTGCCCGTCCTAGCACTCCAGTAAACACCACGCAAAACACGGCCTGAGAGCTCAGCTCCCCATGACATACAAGGAATGGTGACAAGTGGCAGCAGACTCCTGCCCTAGAGAAAGATGCCACGCAAACCCTTCCGTAGTGTTTCTGACACCCAAGTCATACTCAGGGGCCAGGAAGGTCAGCAGGAGACTAGGGGACTTTATATTCATGTTATTTCTCATGTAAAACTTTCAGCAAATTTGTCACTTAAAAACTAAATAAAATCTTAATAGCTCTTAAGCTTCCTCTTGATTTCCTGAATCAAATTACTTTACGTTATTGATACTTCAAGCGGCAGAATTATCTCAACATAGGGACACAGTACGCCACAAGTCACAAGTATGACTCCGTATGGCAACAGTTTACTTTTTATAGGATAACTGCCAAGCCAGACGGGATCTCTTATGGAAACAGGGACTCGTGAGACGTAAAGACTATCAGCAATTATCTCTGCAACCTGGGTAATTCTTACCTGAAATAATGCTATTAGTTTGCGAGGAATACTTGCCCTTCATGGTTAGTGCTACAAAATTAGAAAAAAAACCCAAACCCCAGGTAAAACCTTGAGATCAAATGCCAGCAAGCAGGGAAACTTTTAGCACTTTTTTTGCCCTACTCACCTGCTTGTCCAAAGAATCGGCATCAAGCAATACTTACTCTAAGGCTTGCCAAGTAGCGCTCCAGCTTCTTATTAAGCAGAAAGTAGATGGCAAGTGTGTGACTTGCCCTGTTTGAGAGCACAGTGTTGATGACGTCGCTGTTCTTGTAGCCCAGCTTCTCCGTCATATGGAGCAGCACGCTCTGGCTGAGGTCCTCAAGGTGAATCCTGCACAAAGAGAGGCAGAGCACACCTTTCGTACCGTCCTCCCAGCGACAGAGCCTTGCCAGCCACGGGGGATGTGGCAGAGGGTAAAGAAGAGGCCTGAAAGGCTCAGCAACATGGGAGTGATTAGCTCTCTCCTCCCATGAGTAGGTATGAAAAGGGCAGACTATTCTGGCACCATGGGCACTGTGGGAAGCCGTGATAGCTGAACAAACAGCACTCTCCCCACCATGTCCTACCCCGATGCAAAACAGCATCATCATGCTCTGGACACTGCCGTTTGTTACCCTGCATCTGACCAGTGAAGACCATCAAGATCATCTGGCTGGTTTTGAAGGAAAAGAGGTGAAATCCAGCTCAGGTAGCTATGTTTTGCTTTCTGAAATTACCCATTTCTTGTAACCAAACACCGCAGTTTTCCACTTTGCCCCTTACCTGTTGCACAACAGCTAGGGAATTTCACCCCGGAGAAAGGGGACATAAGGGAGGGTTATTACAGCAGCTCTCAAAATGGTAAAACTGTTGTACTCATGTTGGTTAAAAGCAGAAGTACAACATGTGGTTATGTATGTGCTCTCTTGTAAAGTCTATAACAGACTCAGCCAAGGCGAGAAATGCCGTACAGCATCCTTGTGGAAATAGCAATGCATCTTCTCAGTGTTAGTTAAAACCAGATTTCCCAGAGAACTCTGCTCCTATTCAGACCTCTAAATGCACTGGCCAGCTTCCCAGATGTGCCCGTCAACTCCCATCCATCTCCAAAGAAACGCTGGGTTTTGTTCAGTTTCTAAAGGATATTCCTTGCTCTTAATATCGAGCGTAATATCTGGCCAAGGCAACCTAGGGCAGCTGAGGTTGCAGGCTTTTTTTTACAACCTGCCTTCCCCCTTCAAAAGGACCATCCTTCACCTTTCCCACTCCTGCCCTGCTGTCCCCCTGTCCTGTGCACCTGTGATGCAAGGAATGCCCGGACAGCAGTCTCGGTCTGACGTAGAGAACTTAGACAAGATGAAAAACACAGCCTGGAAAATCCCAAATAACTCTTTTCCTTTATTCGGTGTTCTTATTAATATTCGTTCTGTAGCTAAGGAATGCTTGGGGTTGGGTTTTTTTTAAGTTCAAAAGCAAAACTTGGCCATTGCACATTAAAGCATCTGGACAGCAAAAGAAATTCAAGCAATCTCTACTTGAAGTGCTCAGCAAAATGGGAAATTTTTGCTTGCCTTCGGGGAATTTCTTTAATAAAAGCAAGCTTATAAAAAGCCTGGGAGAATATTCTCCTGAAAATGCAGTTTGTGCCATTCTTCAGCCTTATCTCCATGCTCTCCCTTTTCCTACCAAGTTCTTGTCTTGGAAACAACTGGTGTTACCCCCAAAATGGTGGAAGAGTACTGCAAGAACACAACGCAGCTTCTTGCTCGTGTTATAAAAAGCATGATTAAGAGAGGAAGGGATTCCTTGCAAACTCAGTGGTGGATTTTTCAGAACTACTTTGACACATCTTACCCACATCTGCACACTAACAAAACTTGGAGAAACTCTGTCGAAGTTGAGTCTAGTGGTACTTTCTGAGGCAAGTTCAAAGGGAGTCTAGCCACGTTTTTAAATATTACAAACTTTAGAAAGTATTTTCCCTATAAGGCTCCAGTATGACAAATTCTAGATAGGTCAAGCTTGGGGCATCAACAAATTAAAGAAATACTATCCAAAAAATGAAGTGAAAGAAAGAACCCGTATGGTTTTTATCCTTTACAGCTTCACATAAAACCTGGGTTTGGATAGGAGTATCTAATTTTCTCTTATTTTCAGATCAAATGACGAGAAAAGCAGTGCAATGAGAAAGAAAGAAAAAAAAAGTAATTGATTGTTTTCAATAGCAAAGCATAGCATTCCACACTGATGTTCCCTTTGGAAGTGTTTATAATAGGAAAGGATTATTATCCTCACCATATACACATATACGCATGAGCAAACATACGCCCTCTATATAGTTCGGCACTGCCTTTTCTTCTGTTCGCCCATTTGATTCGCTTGTCTTTAGAAGGGAATGATTAATGGGCACACCATAAATAAAGAGCATTGCACAGCTATTCTATCTAATAGAGGCCGGCATCTTCTGTAAGTCACCTACCTAACTGCACCAGTGAGCAGGCTCTAGAAGGTACACTTCCACCACAACCTGACTAAAGCCTGGCAACTACAAGCTAAGAAGTCACAGAAGCATGAAAATGTACCTACAAATGCAAAAGAATTGTGAAAGCACATTCAAACCCTATTTCTGTCTTTTTTCCTCTTTTCTACAGATAAGACACACAAAGCAAGAGAATTAAATTACCCATACAGCTCTCAGTTACACTTATATTCACTTAACAGATGCCACGTTTAGTAGATTGATTAGACTCATTATGACAGTCATTTCATCAGCTTAATGACTCATTCAGTTTACACTTGTTTTCCCTTTCTTTACCATACAATGTTCATATGTGCCACACTTCAGTACAGTCCAACGCACCATGGAAACTCAGATTTCCTTTTGTTGGACAGCATACTACGCAAATTAACTCAACTGACCTTAAATCTGGGGCAATAATGTCGAGACAATTGGTCTGCCTGTTCTCATTCTTATTCCTTGTGAAAAAATTGTTAGTAGGGGCCAATTTTATATTCTGTCCACATAGGTTTGAGGATTACAGGCAGCCTCACATTTGCCCTCCCTGTTTCAGTGGATGGCTTTAGTGATGCCTCCAGGCATGCAAGCTGCTCAACATCTATCCAGCTGTATTTTGAGAGAGGAAGACCTGTTATTCTCCTCAGGTCAAAGAACGGCATAGTCACAGTGATTCTCCACAATGAAGTACTTGAAAGTTAAGACAGACACTGCCTCTGGAAGGGAAATGCTTGCTGCTAAATTAGAATTAGGGCACCTCCATTCCCTGTCAGTGCAGAGGGAAAAGGGAGGTGGCTCAGGCAGGAGCCACGACCATACAGGCTGAGACCTGTAAGCCAGCCGACAGCAACGTCAAAGGGAAAGGTCTCAAAAAATTCCTAAAGGCCGACCCGAGATTCAGGGCTCAAGCTGATCTCCTGTGCCCCAATTCAGCAGGCTCAGGCAGCGGCAGCACTCGTCACCGGCTTCAGCAGTAAGAGAGGGGTGCTGCAGCTGCCGCTCGGCCCCACAGGGGTTGGACCCATGGCTCTGAAACATACCCTGTTCATCTGGCTAGTGGTGGAGCTGAGCGAAAAACAGGTGGGAGGCTCTCTTACCAGCAAAGCTGTAACCTGGGCTGAATGCTGAAGGCTGGTACTATGCATGGCTTGAACGTGCAGGGGGGTTAAAACCTTTGATACAGAAAGGAGGCTTTATCTGATCAAATATAGACATATATATAGACATATATTTCTAAGCTAGTTGCCTGAGGCTCCGTCTATGGTCACTGGAGAGGAACTCGGATCTCCTGGGCACAAAGTCATCCTACTGCAGAATCAAAAAGAAGTCAGATGAATCATTTTGTAAAAAGTGCCCTTATTTCTCCCCATTGACTGTAATGAGTGCCCAGGCTGACTGGCTCATGTGTAGACTCTATACTGCAGATGTTCAAAGTCAAGCAAGATTATTTCTAACCAAAGTGGACCACAAGTATCTTTCTTTCTTTTTCTTTTTCTCTAGGTGGATGTTTGATGGGCCGTGAGATTTGTTATCTGTTTGCATTTAGTCATGCATTCAGCATTGCACAGGTATTCAAGATCAACAACCAAAAATGCAAGATCATTTAGTTCTGACCTTTCTCACCACTGTCTGCATATTTGCGTAATCCACAGAACCTCACGTATGCACCACAAATAGGCATAGCCTCTATGGGAAAAGTGGCTTGGCTTTTACTGACAAACAAGGAAAAGATCACAACTACCTTTCACAGGTACCCATTCCAAGGTCTGGAGCCAATTAATCATATGATCTGCACCCCAGGCCACCCTGCAAATACCACATCATATGCCAGCTTCGAATTTAAGGCATTGTTTTCGACCATTTCAAGCAATGCATATTCAATGGCCAATCCCAACAACTTTTAGGATGGAGTCACAAAAGCAATTCCAGAAAATGCACTGGGATGCTGTCACACAAATGGAACTGAAACACCAGAGTTGTTCATGTTTTAACATATATAATGTATATACACCCTGGCAGGCTTTTTCCACTCTTTTGCACAGTACCTGTTTGGATATGTGACATTAGGTGGTGCTCTTCCAGGATAATTCTCATTAAGCCATCGATTTGCAAGTGCCTGCTGGATGTTTGGTCTCTTTGCAGGATCTGGCTCTAGTAGAGATCGTAGAAAGTTTACGGCCGCTGTGAAGAAATCAAGAAAAAACACCCAAGAGCTAAGTCATCTGCTTTATGACTTACACGGTAGTTGAGTTACTACAGGTGTGTAGCCTGACCAAGAGTATACTAAAAAGGAATATTTTCCTTATGGTATGCTCTAATGTCCTTGAGAAAAAGGAAAAACTGATAAGGGATTAGTAAGTAAAATAAACAATGATTTATAGTCACAATGATTTATAGAGTCGTAAAGGAGAGGAGAAAAAGTGCCTTTTGTTTCAGAGCTTGTTTCAAGTTTCTGAGCAGGTTAGCCAAAACTTAATTTTTGTATGAGGACAAGAGGCTGGAGTCAGGTCAGAGGCAAATCACTCAATCTGTGTTTAAAGTAGAAGGAGATGGGTTGGGGATGAGGGGAGGGAAGGGATGCAGACCTGGGAGGGAAGACAGAGAGAATTGGGCTCCCTTTGACATTATAAGGACAAATTCTCTCCTGGCTTCCACCCAACCTACAATCAGTTGCAGGAGGTTTTAGCCAAATTAAAAGACTACAGTAAAATTAATGGGCTTCGTTCTGTTTTCAGATACTGAACCTTCAGCCCTCGGTGACATTCAACCATCCTTCAGCTGTTTCTTGCACAACCCCTCAAAAATAATTTTCTGATATTTTTAAGTCATGGTCTTCTTAGATGGTTAGGAACAATGAAATCAAGTGATTTGCTTAAAGACGCACAAGAAGTGCCTATCTGAGCTGAAAATAAACTGTGTTTTAACTAGGTCTGGTCTTTATTCCTCAAATTATCAAGGCTAGATTCAGTTACAAGATAGTAAAGAGTTAACTATATCCTCTACAATTCCCTTCACACAAGATAAAGAAACCTAATTCTGGGAAAGCAAGATGGGAATGATGTTTTAGAGGAGATACAATCAAGTGAGACGATGGCAAATAAGTCCTGAATGAAGTCAAGGGCAAGCAAGAGGCAGAAGCGATGGCTGCAGCACGGTTTTCTCCAGGTCAGATAGACAGGGCCTTAGGGGCTTTTTTCCACCTTCTCCCACAGCAGAACTGCAGTTCCCCTCCTACACTCCCTGCAGCATGTTGTGTCTACTCATCTCCTTACTAGTGCAGGCGCCCTGGGCAGTGGCAGCACAGGACCACTGTGGCACAGGATCGTGTCCTCTGGGCTGTGTCTTCTGGGTGAGATGCAGCACAGCCTTGCCAACATAGCTACTTCAGATCAGAGCAGGCAAGCCAAACCCCTTAAAGGCTTGTGTTACAAAGCAGACCAAACTGGACGTGCCAGCACCTCAGTGCTAGAAAACTATGAAATTATGAGCCAGTTCTCCCATTTGGCCTTACAGGCGTTTGGTCTCACTGCCACAGCACGCTCACTCAGCACCACGTCATCCCCTATTCTGAAGCAGAGTGGCCACGATGCCTCTTCTCCACCAGCAATACAGAGAAATCCTCTTGAATCCCTGTTCCCACACGCAATTTAAGGAGAATAATACACCTGCCAGTGAGGCCATGATGTCCTCATCTGAAAAGGGCATAAACATTAACATAGATGCAGTGCTGCTGCCCTTCGCAGGTTCCCCTCTACAAGACTGCTGCTCTCCTTCACATTTGCCTGGCCACCCCCCCAGGCATTTTTATCTCCCTGAGCCCACCCACATCACCCTCCACCCATGGTACAGGACAAGGTGGCTGGGCTGATGTTCCAGGGCAGGGTGGTGGGCGAGGGAAGATGGGTTTCTCTTCGAAGAAATCAGGGTTAGACCCAATAGGTGCCAACTCCTAACAGCTTGGGTAACCTTGGTGTTCCACATCCTGCAAAAATCAAGCAACAGCTGGAGAGAACCCGGAGAGGCTATCTGTTTCAATGCAGGCCTACCACCAAAAAGTTTATATTTGGAAGACAGAGAGTTACGACTATGTATTTACCAGTTCAGCTAAGCGTTGTCTGAGTTTTTTCTAAGCTCTCTCTTCACAAATTGCTGATTTATGTGAGACACTTTACTTAATTTTTTTCCCAACACTTTTGTTATTTTCCTACAACAGCAATATTGTGGAAGCAGCAGGAAAAGCCGCCATCGAAGTTCATAAACCTCCCGGCTGCTCCCCATATGCCCCAAGTGCCCCCTGTCATGCCTCTTGGGCACAGAACCCTCTGTTATGGCAAACAACAAAACCCTTGTTCTTCCATTTGATCTCCTCTCTCTCCAGCAATTCCCCCATCTCTGTGTTAGAAACCACATGCATCCCATGGGTTTAGAGCAAAATAAATAACCCCTCCCCAAACCAACACCACCCCTCTCCATTACCACCACCCTTGGTCCCCAAATGAGCTAATGTCTCCTTAAAAATTTTACTTTTTTTTTCCCCTTTGGCAAAAGGCAAACTGATTATATGAAGCTTGTGAAGCATCACAGAGATCAACTGATCCAGATAGGGAAAAACTAATTCTGGAGAGAAGATTCCACCGCCCTGGGAGGCTCCCTGGCCAGCCGGGCCCCGGCGACATGGAGGAGATGAGTAGCAGCACCTTGGCCGATTTGAGCTGTCAGATGGTACAGGGAGGAGAGAAGCCTTTTCCAGTTAGCCCCATGGCTGTGGGACAGCAAAATTAATCCCCCGGGATGCAAACACAAAGCTACCCAATCGATTTTTGGACCCATTGAGCCTGAGGCCATCTTTTCTGCTGCACCAAGTAGGCCAGCAAACAAAGGGTGCCACGAACCAGCCTGCCAGGGCCTCATTACATGAGGACTCGTTTATGACGAGCTTGAAGACAGCATTAATCTCATTAGCTGGTGACCTGCACTCGGTGGAATTTTGTTCCCATGGTGTAATTCTGGGGCAAACTTTGCTCTTTTGACAAATGAGAACAGCATCATGAGAAACTACATTTCTCTGTTAACTTCCCTTGATGGACTGTGCTCAGCAATGACCAGAAACAGAGCGTGCTTCAGCGGGGATTACAAGACCTGTCTGGTAATGTTCTTCACGTTCCTTGTCATCAATGAAACCAACTTAGTGTCTTGCTCACACTGTGAGGGTGTGCCTGGTTAACAGGTTAACACCTGTGTACAGGTGTTGCTTACAGAACTGGCCGGAGAAAATGCAATGAGGTCATTTCATAAGCCACAAGCGATCTCCACCTAATAAAATCCTTCCTCCAAACTACAGGCACAGATAGATGATGGCTTTTCTTCTTGTCTCCACTTCATTTCTCTGCTCCAGAAGGAAGACCATAAACACACAGAAGCGGTAAATTGAGGATAAAAAAGGAACGTGTGCAAGGTGAATACCAACTTCCTGAACAACTGAACTCTGCTGACCTAAAATCAATAATCAGATAGCTGTGTTGTTTAAGAAGCTTAATGAAAAACAGTTTCCTAGATGGGAAAATCAAACACTAACTCCAAATTTTCCCTGTTACTACACAGTTGCTTTGGGCACTCAGGGTCACCCAAGATTTTAACTAATACAAATAAAATATACTCTTGCTTAGTGATAAGACTGGCTACTTTTATGATGGGATTGTGTGTTCAGTAACTGTGAAATTAAATATTGAAAGACAATGTACTGAACAAGCAAACCAGACTCCTGCAAAAAATCCTACTCTATACGTGAATTTAGAGAAAAAGAAAACCCAAATAAAGAAAAAGATCCCTAAACCTAAGAAGTTAACGAACACAACAATTTGCAGAGACCAGGAGCAGAGTTTCTACCTACTGACCCCAAGTCTAACTGTGGCAAGAACAAATGTCATCTTAAATCAGTTTGCCATGTCAGTGAACACACAAGGCCGCTGACTTAGCTCAAGAACCGATGCGTACCTTTGTTCACAGTGAGTAAAGGTTAACACGTTTAAATCTATTCCATTAGTTTGCCATCACCTCTTAAAGTTAAATCTGCTATAGTTCTCAGAGAATAAACAAAATACCGTTTTCACTGGAGATCATAGTGTCGGTGAGCTACAAATGCTACAGAGATGCACTTGTGAGAAAATTTGAGCTGCGTTACAAAATGAATGAAACAGCAAAATGAAACCTGTCAAAAGTAATGTTATCTTTTTTGCTGCCCAAGGTCTGGTCTTCTATAGGCCTTTTGTGGGTGATTCAGCCTTTAACACATGAGTTGCCCCAGTGAAGTCAATGAAATCTCCCACTTAAAGATGATTGAAAGAAAAGAATGATTGGGGAAACAGTCCACTGGCTCAAGGATGATACACAGCCATCATATAACTGTTCTTCATAGGTAAAAGCCTCATTCTGGGAGGTAAGTTTGGTTTGGAAAATGATTACTATGACATGCAAGTCCCTGAATTCAAGAGTAACTTTGCAATTGATGCAGAATTTAGCATCTAGATCAGTACAGCACAAAGCAGTCAGTATAATCTTTCTTTTAATTTTCACAGTGGGCCTTTAGAGCATGTGCTAGAACGTTAAAATAGCCATTTTGTGCAACTGAATCCTAATGGGAAGTCTCCAGAATGTAAATACCAAACACTCTAATTGCATCAAATAGACGGCAAGACTTGCAGCACCCCAGCTCACTTGTAAACCTACCACTTTACAACATGCCAGCAACACGAACTGCTGGCAGGAAAAGAGGAAAAGTGTACTTCATACGGATGTTGAGTGAACAAGGAACAACATACTCTGCTTGATCCACAGATAACCTGTGTGAGAAAACCCTTATCTACCTACTTTTTCTGTATGCAGGTAAATCTGTACTTGGAGAATTCATCTTGTGACACAACTTCCAAGGGCTTTCTCTTATCCCCCAAGACAACGGTAGTCATCCTTAGTGTAGTGAGTGAAAATGTATGCTCTGTTACCCTTTTTCTATTTGCAATCTTTTAATTTTATTGAATGTCCCTTATAAACAGGCTGCCAGATAAGGAGAACAGAAGCTCTCCATAAACAACAAATTTAGCATACAAAAATAAAACTCAACTACAAAACAGAGTTTGTTCCAACTGCTGACAACGGTCTTGCTATAAGCTGAAAAATCATTCTGTTGCCTAGTGACATGGCTTTGAAGCAGGAATTAATATTTCTAATACTAATACATCAACAATTTTGCATTTTGTGAACACACAAAGATCATCAGAGGCCACTGTCCCAAAATAACTTTCTGTGTGCGTGTCATTATTCCATAATAAATGTGAGGTCATTCAAGGTAGCTGATCACTCAACCCTAGTCATGATAATGCCCAGGAATTTGTTATTCCAAAATAATGTGTTCATGCATCCATACCCTATGCTAAAATCTTCTGAACGTGCAAAACTGACCAACTACTCTGCAAAAGCAGTTTCACAATTTTTCACAGATTTGTTCCTCTCATATTCAGCACAACTTGGCGCTTCTCCAGCTTACATAGAGAAGTCAAAGTAAAAGGAGCTATACTACAGCAACTCCCGCAGATCTTCTGGAGGCTAAAATGAAAAAAACAGTATTTTTCACAAGTAGCGTGCCATGTCAGCAGTATGACTCACAATCCAGAATTCAATGCAATGGTTCTAACCAACTGGATCTAAACAGGTCCCAGCACACCCCCTTGATTACCTGTAGAGAGCTGTGTGGGAAAAGGGTTCATTTCTTTGTCCACCATTTTCTGGTACAAAGCTCTCAAGCTGAATGGCTCCACAGTAAAAGGTAATGTTCCAGTCAACATTGCGTACATGTTCACTCCACTAAAAGAAAATAGAGAGAAAAAGAAACCAAAATCATCAGGAACAAGGAAGAATGCAGGCTTAGGTTTTAGTGACTGTACTTCATCTTTAATGTCTGACAACTATTAAAAAAGAGCAAAAAGTGCTCTTTCTTCTTTTGCACACAATGATTTGGGGAAGAATTCCCAGAGGTTTGCTCATGGAAGGTCACACAATGTGTAGGGACATAGGGTGAGAGCCACAGAACCAAGCCCAGCCCTTAGGCAACTCCTCAGCTGAATGCCACACCACAATTAAGTCTTTCCTCAGGCTGCATAAACATGCTGCTTTCAGGGGCCTTGTCCCGGTCCTGCCCTGGGTTCGGAATGACTGCCGGCACCAACGGGGACATCACAGGTCTTGGTTCAGTGCCCAAAGGTTTCCATTGACCTCCATAGCCTCTGGTGCAGCCCAAAGATCAGGTGGGAACAATTACATTTTTCAGAGCGGAAAACTTGCTGCTTATTTATGCCCAGCAAAGTCTGTAATGAAAAGTGGGTTGGGCACTCTTGTTCTTTTTCCTCTTAAAAGGGCTTTAAATTTAATTTGAGTGGAATTCCTCCCTTTTGGGAATTTGTTTCCCCAGTCTGATGAATAAACATATGTGAACAGAAAGAAACTAAACTGGTGTGCTATCACGAACTATGATCACAGCAACCATTTGTTCAGCTATGAGGAAGGGTAAGAGTTAACCGTAGTTTTCTTTCTTTGATTAAAAGAAAGAGCATTATTACTAAAGAAGTTTAAATGGTTTACAAGAATCATAGAATCATAGAATGGTTTAGGTTGGAAAGGACCTTGAAGATCATCGAGTTCCAACCCCCCTGCCATAGGCAGGGACACCTCCCACTAGACCAGGTTGCCCAAGGCCACATCCAGCCTGACCTTGAACACCTCCAGGGATGGGACCTCAACAACCTCTCTGGGCAACCTGTTCCAGTGCCTTACCACCCTTAAAGTGAAAAACTTCTTCCTAATGTTTAATCTAAACCTGCCCTCTTCCAGTTTATAGCCATTCCCCCTCGTCCTCTCACTACATGCCCTAGTAAAAAGTCCTTCTCCAGCTCTCCTATAGGCCCCCTTTAGGTACTGGAGGCCCCCTTTAGGTACTGGAATGACTTTGCTCTGTTTACCTGCATTCCTCAGGGATACTCTCACCCTTGATGTGGAGGATGGCCCACTGCTGGAGTGCGAAATTCAGTAGCCATACAAGGATTTAGCTGTGGGTCTCCTCAGAGGACAGACCGCAAATTAAGCTTCAGCAGGGAAAGTTCTAAAGAGCCTTGAGGTGCAACAGGGGACCCACCGAGTCAAAGTGAGAGATTAATTTGACCCAGGTCCTAGTCTCATATATAAACTATGGCCAATCTTTCTTAGCAGTAGTACTCATACACTACAATACATTTTCCAAGCATTCCAAACAATTCAACCCAGGAATTACCATAATTCTGTTATTTCATTGAAATTTATACAAATGTTATTATCCCCACTTGGTGAGGGAAAATCTATCAATACTAACACAAAAGCTAAAACTCAACTGACTTCAGCTAATTGCTCTCCAGGATTCACAAGGGTAATGGACACCATGTCCATGGTCAACAGGAGAATAGTGGGAGTTGCACAGACTAAAACAGTACTGCAGACAAATTCATTGACTCCAAAACAACTTTCTGGCTTCCTCTACACTGACACTGGGGACTTCTGTCTGTTCTTTTGCCTGAACACTAGTAAGCTCAAAAAGGCTCACCAGTCTTCTGGCCATTTTTGTTTCCCCTTTAATGGCTATGCTTTCAAGATGGTGCTTTCAAAGTGATGACCTGACTTGATTTCACATTTCTTGTCAGACTTGACTGTGGATAGTGCACATAGCCCACGTGAATGCTTGAGGATCCTTTGGGGAAAACTAAAAAAGCTGTTGGTCCTTTTGTGCCAGAGCCATGTCTTCTACTATGTCTGAACATCACTGACCAACAGTTGTGTTTTACTACAATCTCTCCATGCTATATGTTCTAGCGATCTATATATGTAAAGAGCTATTTCAAAATAAGATATCTGTGCAATTTAGTTCGCAGAATCATACTAATTAAACAGATTTTCTTGCTCAGAGTAGCCGAATACATGAATGTTTCTCATTTGAGCAATGGGTAATGATGACAGTAATAACAATTATCAACTAGAGAAGTAACTCACATGGACCAAACGTCTATTTTGGGCCCGTATTTTTTCCTTGCCAGAAGTTCAGGGGCTGCATATGCTGGGCTCCCACACTGGGTGCTGAATGGATCAGAATAACCCAAGATGCCTGCACAGTTGCTCAATCCAAAGTCTGTGAAAGGCACAGAGACAGAGTTATGAAAGAGACAGATACAGTAAAACCATGCTAGAACACAAGAAAAAAAAAGCACATTTTTTCCCAAAAGCTAAGCAATGAATTGCCTAAGAAAAAAAAATCATCCACATGCAAAATTTTATACAATTTCTCTGAGGTGCTCAATAACCAGAGATTTCCACAACCAATAATAATAATAAAAAAAAGTCTTAGAACGTGCACAATTATCAATTTCATACACAAAGCAACTACATTTCACTGGGAATTGGATGGCAACAACCAGAGCTGAGCTTCTCCCAGGCACTATGTGATGCGCACGGGGCGGAAAGCCACCTCTGGCTGTCGTGGATTGCATAGTGCTGCAGTACGTTACGTAGAGGCCAAGTTTAAGTGGGATTTCATCAACATTTTCCTCGAAATCGTGTAAATGAGCCATTGGATGTAAGGCGAGGCAGGCAGGGGAGTTGCTTTCTGGGACTACTGTGGTGATGTACAAACGCACAGGGTTGCAGAGTCAGCATTTCAGCTCTGAAATAACACAGGGAGATCTTGGAGCAAGAAGGGGAATGTGTTGATTTGGCTCCCCCTTTCCCCCACTTCTGCTTTGAATTACTGTATTTCTGGCCCCTGGGTGTATCTGACACTCTTTTGCTGGCAATAATAACAAGGGACTGGCAAAGGCTGGCACCACGAGCTGATCGGAGACAAGAGGCAGCCTCTCCGCACCGGAGGAGGCTGCAGTTTCCCAACTCCTCTCAGCCAACCCAAGCCTGGGCTGGCACCAAGAAGGGTGTTCCCAACATCTCCCCTGTCTGCTCCAGTGCTGGTATAGCTGCAGGGTGAGCTGGGTTTAAGAAAGGATCTTAAAAATTAAACCACTAAGCAAGGAAAGAAAGGCAGACAGGGTCACACTAGTGGCAGAAGTGGCTGGGGGCAACGTGCAAGCCCACCCTGTCTAGTGGTTGCCCACGCTTGGCTTGGGTAAGAGCAATTATGAAACCACAGCCTGAGAGACGACCCGAGAATGTGAGGAGGGGTTGCAGAGGATCTTGAAAATGAAGTCAAACAACCTGATGTGATAAAAGGGAAGAAGCAAGACGATCTTGCAAGGAGGAGGATAACATGGGCAAAGCTGACAGGCCGGGAGAACGGCCTTTGCTGCAGGGCAACGCATCCAGGAGCAGCGGATCTAGGGAGGTCACAATCAAAGATGTTCACATTTATTAATAACTCGTTATTGATGACAGCTGCAACAACAAAAATACTGCGAGCAAGAACACTGACATCTGTTTTGTTCTCTTTTTTTGATCCAGTCTTCTTAAAAATTCCCAGAATGCATGCGTGTCTAAAATGAAACTGTCTTATCCATGAACGAGGCAGTCAGGAGAAGCAGACTGCTGAATCCTCTTCCTATAGATTTGTGTCTTGTGTCCACGTGTCTCGTGAAACAGCACATTGCAGGGTGTGCTACCCACCTGCCTGGATGGGCTAAAAGCAACACATCTTGTAGGCCAAATATAGCAGGCAACTTCCGAGCCCATGCAATACTCTCTCTCCACAGAATCATTAATTTGGGTCTCTCTCCCTTATCTGCCTACGTATTTGCATAAGGCTTGAAGTAATGGCCTGTCCTTTAGCTTTTACCCCATGTTAAATTTGGCTGATATCAAACAGCAATTCCTCAAGGTATTAGAAGCGCCCTGACAGGGCGCTCGCATAAGCCTTGTTCCCTTACAAGACCAGATGAAAAAAATAATAATGCTTACAAAAAAAAATTGCAATTATAAAGATGACTATGTGAGCTGGAGTACCCAAATGACTGCACAGTGCTTTCCACTCGACTGGCTGCATCTCTGAGAGCGAGACAAGCACAAGGGAGACAAGAATCACCATATTTGACATCCAAAGAGGCTCAAAGGGGTTTTGCTGGAGAACATTGTCAAAACTGAAGGGAGGATCAAGACAATTTCCTTGCCTCGGACAGAAAACAATTGTCTCTGGACACTGCTTAATCATCTCTGCTAGATATGTATTATCCCTGGGGCTTATACAAATACTTCTAAGGATCCATTTACTTAATTAACGTATTTATTAGCTATGGCCCGAGATGAGTTATGCCAACTGGAAAATACTTTTTAAAACTCCTAGAACTAATATCTCCCCACAGTGTTATTCATGGCCTCTACCCTGCTGTGTCATACCACTTTAAAATTACTTGACTGTAATATAATGCTTTACAATCAAAGTATGTAAGGGCTATATTCTGCGATGGTGTAAATCAGCATCCTTTTATCATTAGCAATGTGGGTATACTCTAGTGGAGGTTTTAATTATCTTATTTGCTTAAACTATAAACATCTGATTCACTTTTTTCAGCTCATTCATTTAATCTAGGCTGGTATACTCTTTTTTCTAGCGCCTGTTGAAATGCAGAATGTGTGCAAACACATGCATATTGGGGACAGGGATTTTATCGCATAAGAAATGGAAATATTGTTATTAACATTGTGGCAACACATTGGGATTTCAGTGTGACTTTTATTAAGGATGCACTGCTGATCTCAATAAGAATGGCATTACCACCAGCACCAACAATTTCACTGCCATTCCTGCCTCTGTCTTGGGCTTCCTTTCAATAAGCCGAGCTAATTACAGAACTCAGATCAAAGGCCACACTTGATTTTCCAAAGTAAATATTATGACATGGAAACTCCACCACCCCCACTGTTCGTACTATCGAAGTATCGCATTGCACTACTACTCTTTAACGCCTCCAGAAAATCAACATTAAGCTATGGATATATGGCTATCTCTGAAGCTGTGACAGTTGGAACATGGAAAGAGTTGTTATTAAATAACAGAAACCTTGGCACCAACCTCGTGGACAAGTTTGACCAGCAGAGCTCCACAGAGCTCAGCAGAGCTACGTGTTAGCAGGGTCCTCTTGGTGCCATAGGTGCTTGAGCAGGATGCCAAGGACTTTGCATGGCCTATGCGTGGCTTTTCAAAGCATCTTTATCAGACACCTACTACCATGGGCTGGTAGATGAAGAGAAGTGAATTATTTCCAGCGTTTGCTAATCCTAATGTTCTTAGATTTGAGACTTAACACAGCAAAGTGATTTTTTCTAATAATATTATCTAAGAACATCTTATAAACCACCTTGTCACATAGCTAAAAAGAGTAACAAAATCAAGGTGCCATTAAGCAGCTGGGTGAAGAAAGGGACTCAAGGGATTCAGTTCTCATTGAAATGCATGAACAAGCAGGGATTTTCAATGTCACTTCCCAGTACATTTTTAATCTTCATTTCACCTGTTCTTTTTCCTTTATGGTGGGTTTTCTTCATTTCACAGTTACCATAAGAGCAACATTTTTATTAGGTACTAGTGTATTTGCTGCTGCACAAGACAGGGAGATGAAGCTCCCACCCCAAAGCAGTTTATGTGCACTGGTTTTGTAGCTTCAAGTCTCTTCTCCCAAGCACAAAAAGCAGCACGTAATTCCTCAAAACACGCTCTTCGCTCCTGAAGAACCTTCCTCAGCAGGACTACGTGACGATGCAACTGATTCATCATGTTTCTAGAAAGACAGACTACATAAAATATCGTTCTAAGCGCTGAACGAGCTGAGTGAGGGAACCGGCAGGGAGGAGGAAGAGGAGTAAATTATCTGGTCTCTAAATGATCTGGTCTATGATCAGCCACAGACAGGTGCTGGAAAATTTCTGCTGTCCTGGGAAACCCTGATGGCAATAAAAAGCTTCACAGCAGCTCAAGCAGTACTTCTGCTACCACCTGGAAAAGAGGTACTGGTGAGGAGAGGTTGCCCAGGGACCTGAGGCCCATTTCAGCAGCCCCCGCTCCAGCTTTCCCTGCAATCTCAGCAGACAGAGCATGAAGAATGGAGGCACTGCTTCTTCAGGGTGAACAACCAGAGGTCATCAGCATCTCTAGCGAGATATGGCATGAGCTGACTGTGATACTAAATGTGTTTTTACTTACAGCAAAATTATTACTAATAAAGCAACCTTTATTTTTCTATAACATACCCAGTTGGGTGGTGGGATTTAATTGCTTTGTTTTAAAATACACACTGTGTACAATCTGCTCTGCTTAAAACATCAGGCTGCAGACCTGAGGACAATTTACTTTCAATGCTAGCGAGGCTACAAAAGATTGAACTGTCTCTTTTCTCTAGTCTTCCCACACCACCCACTGTGAGGAGACCTTTCTATGCAACCGAAGCAAATGAAAGTGCAGGAACAGTTATGAAGTAATTTTTTGGCATGTGAGCTTTAATTGTACATGTATCATCTGATTAGGTCTGGGTTTGGATGTCAAGTTCACATACTGTTGTGTAACCAAACACCCAATAACAGGAAAGTTATAGAAACTCTTTAAATCTATCAGATGTTCATATAGCACTGTTGCAAACCATCTGGTCTCACTTATCTGCTAAATCAAGATAATGGGTGGTATCCATCATTACTGATGAATGATTCATGGTAACATATCGGTATCCTCTTGACCCGTAGCTGAGGTAATACAGAGTTCTCTTTTTCTATTATTTTCCCAGAGTCGCTTGAATCGCTATAGAGTAATGACTAGAAGTCATGGTAATAGTTCCAAAGACTGAATTCCCTAAGTAAATTTTCACTATTTCAGACTTTATTAACCATCCTCCTCCTGTTTGTTTGGAGATGCATGTGCTTTATACATTACAGTTAAGTGTCCATTTGACCTGAATGTTAAGTGTTTTTCATCACTTTTCAGATCATGAAACCTTTTGAAGAAAGTCAATCAAGTTTTTAAGTCTGCAACCACAGATACTGCTGTTGGCAAAAGTGTAGGCATGGAGATAAATATAAGCCAATGTTTTGGGGTTTTTTTATGAAGTCATATTTGCTTTTCAATGCCCACATCAACGTTAATGGGAGTTATGCAAAGGTAGTGAGAGACTATACCCACTGATGATTAATCTAAAATGTCTGCACAACTTCAATGAATCAAGTCCTGCGTACAACTGATACCCAAATACAATCAAGATGCTATCGTTTGTCTTTTTTATTTTTTAACAGCACCCTCTAAACCAATTTCATATTGGGTGCTAGAAGCAAATTTAACGAATATAAATATAGGACCAAATTTTGCCAGCTGCTAAAAATGTATGCAACTCCCACTGACTTCAGCGGAAGCATATGCATATGGGGGCAGAATCCAACCCTTAGTAAATACGAAATTATCAAGATAATAAAATAAATTATTGCTGTGGTGTCAATTCTTTAATTCTTTACAAAGTTCCTGATTTGAATATGAAAGCTGTTGGTTAAAAGATGAAGGATTATTCCCATACCAAGTTAAAGCTGAATTATTTGGAACATTTTTTTCACAAGATGCTGTCAGGAACAGCTTGATTGCTATCTATACTCTCTCAGCTCCTCTCTGCAGCAACATTAGCAGTTGTCACATGAAGGATTATGAAGTCTCAAAAACTCTCTTTATAAAACTACCAATTTTAATTACTGGAATTGCCAAACTGGTTTCATACCAATAAGCTTGATATTGTTGTCTTCATCTAGCAACAGATTTTCTATCTTCAAGTCTCTGAAAGAAATAAAATATTTTGAGTGAGCCTCCAAAACAAAGAAGCAGCTTCCCATCACTCTCATCAGTGTATTTACAAGATTCATATATAATAACGCCTATAATGAAAGCAGCACACATAGTTCCACATTCAAAGCAGAAAGCCCCATGCATTGTCTCCTCTCCAAAATTACCAGTGCTTTTGCGCACAGTTTCACACCTATTCTTCAGGCACAAAATGACTTTACAAACATTTGTCAGTACATCCTGTAATTAACCAGGTTCTTCAAATTTCTCACATACTTAAAAGTCTGCAGAAATCTTATACACTGGAAAACATTTCAAATATATGTTTTTGGAACTGGTGGTCACTTTCTCATTACTCTTCATAACCAAAGGCTCTTCACTGGCCACAGCTGAAGAACGAACCTCCTTCTGCAGGGATGTGAGGAGTCAAACGTCTGTCCTCTGCTATTGTCTGCAAGGGAGATCAAAATCAACCTTCCCTGGGGATGCAGCATCCAAACTCCTTACAGAGGTGGTCAGCACTCGTACTTTCATACGTTAGAGGTGAAAACTGAGCCTGAGGGATTGAAATGACTTGCCCCATGCCATCCAGAAGGCCAGTAACCATTCCGAGAAGAAGCCACACAGGTTTTTTCAGTGCTTCATTAGTGCTTTCTCCACCGTGCCACCCTGCCCAACGCCACAGAGCCACTGCACAGATCAGGGCCTGGACCACTTGCAAGACAGACAGGATAAAGTGAAAGCAGTCTCCTTCTACAAGACGGCCAACCCTTCTTCTGATATATACATCAGCATATTGTTCACTTTACATATGCTCTTTCATCACTTAAGAACGTGGTTGCGCTTTCCCAAGCCATTTTCTACCTAAGAAAAATATTCCAGAGATCACACACACACAAAAACACCCCAAACCCCCGAACTGTACAGACTAAGCACTAAGTATAATATAAAAAAAAAAAATCATTTCGATTGCTACACAACTTGTCCATGACTTCTAGCAGTTGGCTGTGTCTTTATCACAAGAATTTTTCCACTGTCCAGACATAAAATATTTCTAACAATCAGTATGCCAGGATACCAATAGCTCAGACGGGCAGTGATGCTTCTCGCAGCACACTGCGGAAAATTCTGGATAATAAAGCCATCAGCTATAATTATGGGAAGTCAGTGACATCCATGGTATTTTGCCTTTGTAAGGCAAAGGGAGTAATGAAGGATGCCTCTATTACAGATGAAGGTATAAGGCTTAATAAAATAAGACAAGTAAACCAACCAAACCAAACAAAGTACTTCCACAAGAAAGGATCTGGGAAAGAAAGAAAGAAAAATAGCTGTGACCAAGCCCAAGCCTTTTTTAAAACGTTCCTCTCCATTCCATTTTATGCCCATGCTGTGTTTCAAATAAACCTGAGGAAGAAGAGTACTTGGCAGGTAGGATGCCACTCGCTTCATCGATACCACCCCACAAAGACCTTCTCCAAACAGGTGTTTCTACACCTCAGTGAGCATTTCTTACAGATTTTCCTTGCTTTGCGTGTGAAAAGAAATCGGATAAATAGTATATAAATCTACCGAAGGAGAGTATTTTGCAAGTTTCAGGTATTCAGGGGCAATACCCAGGTTTTCCTAGAGGGTCCAGCCAAACACTTTGTGAGGAGAGGACTGCCTTCTGCACCAATCCTCTTCTTGGAGAAGCAACGTAACTCAGACAACAAAGCACCATCCTGAGAGACAGGAGGGGGGAATGTGTCCCCTCCTCTGGCAATAACCCAGTGTCTTAACTTGAGGAAACTAGCCACGCTAAAAGCGGCAGCTAATTTCAAATACCACGGCAGAAACGTAGCCAGATTTGGCCATGTTTTGACCAAGACCCAACCTACAAAGAGCCCGCTCTCCAGCCCCGCTCCCGCTCCGAGGGCAAACACCGGCTCCGGGCTGTGCACCCCATGATCCCAGCTGGCATCCACGGCATCCCTCCCCTCATCCATGGGAGACTCCACGTCTCACGACAGTGGTGCAGACCCACCGCCCTGCATCCTCCAAAAGGAGCTTCCCTTGAAGGGCAACTTCTGCCGCTGAGAGATGGCTTGATACAAGGAGGATGTGCCCTGCCAGATGGATCCAGATCAACCCACTTCTGCTTCCCCCTACTGCCAAGAAAGGGCTTATTTCTTCAGTTCTCACGTCTTGATTGCTTGCAGGTGGAGGTTTTCACAGACAGTGCCATTAGGCTCGAGAAAGGTATTGGGGCTGGGAATTTAATAGGACAGAGTGCCAAAAAAACCCAGTATGGGAAAGAGAAAACAAACACAAAGATGACCACAAAAAGCAAAACTAAACTGAAATCAACAGACGCACATGGAGCATCGGGACATACACTGCAATGCTCAGTACGATGTCTCAAAGCAAGGAGCAAGACCATTTTGAAGCTCTGAGTACATTAAACATTAGCTAAGAAGAGGCAAGACTTTAAAAATAAAGGCAAGGGAATGGACAGATGAAAGTTATAAGCTGAGGAGAAAAGACACCCAGGCAATTAGAATAAGTGACAGGAGGGCTAAAAATAAACACAAGAAAAGATATTTAAAGGATTCAAGGTTAAAAAAAAAAAAAAAGAAGACAACTAAAAGTAAACATCACAGGGCATTTTAAAGTTATCAGAGGAGGAAAAAAAAAATTAAATATAGCCTCAGCATAGAGTGCAATCAGACCTGGTTAATTAAAGTTGTTTACCCATATGTCTATTCTCAGCAGATTTGCCGGTAAGTGGTAACTGATCTAATAGTCCATATGCACCACATTTTTGTCAACCTGTGTCAATACGAAAGCACTTTTTTCTTTTCGGTGTGACACCAGGAACTAGGACAACAGGTTTTTACTCCCTCATACAACCTAATGAGAAGATTCCACGCAAACCAGCCTTAGAAAAGTGAAGCAAAAGCCGTATGCAACCAAGCCAAAAACCCCCAGACTAAGTCATAGCTGGAAAACGGCTGTAACGCAAATGTGGACCCCCGGGCAGCCAGACCCCCTACAGCAGTCTGGCAGCGGGGCAGGGGGATGGCAGGTACCTGCAGTCAGGACAGCAGAAGGGCAAACAGAGCCTGCCTCTCTGGACAAGATCCGTGGCCATCAGCACAGAAAGGTTATTCAGTGAATAGTTTAAGTGACTTTAAGAACGCACCAGATTACCCACTATTTCTTTTTGACAAAAAGTGCAGTGGGACAACCCAATTACACATCTGCCTTAGGCTCATCCTGCAGACAGGACCGATTTCCCTGAACTTCTTAAATGCTTTATGTCAGTTCTGTCCGATTCAAACTTTAATTATTTTTTACAAAAGGAGGTTTATCTGAGTTGCTGCTTTGTTTGAATGTTTACATTAATGCATTGAAATGGAAAAAGTAGCACCATTGCATCCAAAAGTGTTAGGGAACCCTGAATTTCTTGCACTATGTTATAAATTGGTTTAACAAATAAAAGCAGACATACCACCTTATTTATTTTGGTCAGTGGAGTTTTTTGCATGTTTTTAATAGCTGCATACTGCAAGAGAGAAGGCGAGTTAACAGCTACGACACACGCAGCAACTGAAGTCCTTGCTGAAGTCAATGGGAAGACCCAGAGCACTGAACACCAGGTACCCATGCTGATCCCTGTGGACTCAAAGGTCCTCATAGTTTTGCACTTCTTGGTGGGTTCCTAGAGCAGGACAGGGCTGCTTTGCAACTGGAAGGGCTGGGCAAGCACTCCCTCACGCCAACAGCACACATGCTGCACTGCACGGGTTTGAGGTGGGTAGAAGAAACGCGGTTGCTGGAGACCTTCAGTTTCCCTCCTTGAAGTAAATCTGATCTTGTTCCTTACTGTCACAGGTCCTCAAATTTTTTTTTCCCCTCAAGCAAATTTTCAGCATTCATTGCTGAAAAACTTCAAAATACCCCCAGTGATTAAATCCTAAAGGAACAAAAAATTTTCACCTTTTCCTGAGGGGTTAGTTCCATGATGCTGAGAGAGTCTAACTATGGTACAAGTCAGTCAAATAATGAAGACACTCAAGAAAGATCACACTGCGTTACCACAATGTGGAGAATCAGCATATATTTATGCCTTGTCAGCTTGTGAAGCTAGCAGCATACAGTCGGCCTTCCCCGTATTTGAAAATATGCCTTCTTCATGGGATGGTTTGTTCTGCTGCTGATGGGGCTGATGTGTCTCTGGCTTTGTTTAGAGCTTCACAGACCACTTTGGAAATCCCAACTCCAGCCAGTGACTCCACCAAGAAACACAAGCCTGCTCCACTGAGCGAGCCACCCCAGGCTTCAGCTGTCAGCTCAGCGAGCTTCTGAAAGAAGCTTATTCAGTGTCATTGCAGGCATCAGACAGCAAAATTGAAGTTTTTGCATTACACACTTTATTTCTTGTCTGGGGGAGGAGGGAAGGTTTTACCAGCAAGCAGCTGCAGAGCAGCAGTGGTTAGCTGCTGTCTCATGCATCTTATTTTTAATCAAACAGCACAATGGAAAATCATTCCTGAACTACCAACCCACAAGCCCACTTTCTAGCCCCATGCAAGAGCCAGAGGTGAGCTGGAAAGGTCACGGAGATTTGGGTTCATCACCACGTCAATATACATTTCAAAGGCTTTGTTATCAAAATATTATTTATTGAGCCTGATTCTTCTCAGTCACAATGTCACTGAATTCAATGCGGTTGCCTCTGTAAAAGAGGAATTCAGTCTATTGTCTTCACTAAAACAATGTTTAGTTTGTTTACAGCAGAGTACTCCAAGAGAGAACGCCCAAAGGTAATTTTGAAATCTGACATAAAATAGAAAGACAAACCAGCTTTGCACTTCAAAAGGAGACTTTGTTCTGTAGTGCAGGATCTGTCATAAATATTGCATCAGCAGCCAGAGTACTGGCACTTAAAATTAATAGGACGGAAGTTATCAAAGCCAACATGTCAAAAGAGCGGTTACCAAGGCAGGAATCCCGTAGCACCCTGAGAAACTGGATTGCATGGCACCACATTACTCTGCTAGGGAAAAAGAGATCATGGAAAAATATATAAACTCCGCTCAAAACCTCAGGGGTTTTTTTTGGGTCTTTCAACCTCCTGACCTGCTTTTAATTACAAAATGGCAGTGGAAGTTACAACTAGGCTGCCATGAAGACAGAAAAAAGGGGAATTCAGAAAGCTATCTTTGCTACCAATACATTATTAAATTCTTTTCTTTGACATCCTGACAGTAATTGCACTGAATGGGATTGAATTTTGTTAAAATTGCTTTAAAAGGGTTGTTGAGAATTTCCTGTGGGATGCAGTGGCAAGCACCAAGGCTTTCACTTCATTTTCTCTGTTGTCCTTATGCTCCCAAGGGGCTTATTGTTCATCGTGCTTTTTGACAGCATGAAGGCCTATGTAAACACCCTCTGAAAAGAGAAAGCTTCACCAGATACTGCCATTTGGGTTTGTTTTCCTCTGTCAGAGGGAAGATAAATATTCCTACCTGATTCACAGCTGAGCTTGTTGCAAGTGTATTTTTAGTAACCAACCAGCTCTTCTGATAGAAGGAATGAAACACAAATGATTACATGCAATTATATATAGAATAGCGGCATTTCTTTTTTCAGCGAGCGGCCAAGGAGTTCTGAACCCCAGACACTCCCCACCAAAGATGTAGCTCCCGCGCTCAGGAACTTGCAGTCTTCATCCATCGTAGCAGATGATATATTTGTAATTTGAAATACATCTATACAGTCAGACATGAGTATTCTTTTTTTAACTTCTCTAAATAAAATGAGGTTTCTTGAAGTTTTTTAATTTTAGGCTGCTCGCACATCGGTGCCTCTTAGAAGAGGCATTTCCATTGAGTTGTGGGTCCCAGCTCTTTTCCAAAGTGCTTTTCTGTCATGCCAAGTCTTGATTGTAAGTCATAAAGCTTACCGAGTAACATTCATCAAATAATGTAATCAAATTTCATGCAACTTGTTTCATCTGGCATTTTTTCATCCTGAGTTACACAACAGGGCAAGTCATCTATATTATTCCCTGAATAATGCAGACAAAAACGCTGGCGACTTTTGCAACAAAACAGTCACTGAACGCTTTTCAATGTCCTGCCCCACTCCATGCGAATGATGAAAGCATTTGGAGAGAGACAAACAGCAGACCGCTTTCTGGCCTAGGATGCCGTGTTTTGTTTCACACGCAGTGAATGCAAACGCCCACAGATCACCACCTAGATGAAAGTGCTGTTATTTTTACCTGTTTTAAAAATAACAACAATAACAACAACAGAACATTGCCATTTTATCCAGGGTGAGAATGAATCAGACTTCTGCACTATTTTTTCCCCCCTCTTCAGCTGCCAATTGAATGGTCTGTTTTTAGAGTTGCCAGAGTCAAAAGCCCGAGACGCTGAAGGACAACTCCTGGGGTAACTATTATTCTTTCTCCATCTCTTGCTCACAGAGAGCCAGAGGAATAAATCTGGATCACGCCATCAGTGTTTTTCCTGCATCTCTATGCTGCTCTACGTACTTTGTTTGCAGAGTAAGTCAAGACATTGAATGGTTAAGCTAGAGAAAATACTTGCAGATATACTGCCTGTGATGCTGTCAAATGTTATCAGTTTAAGCAGAATCAGACCTGCTCATTATCTGGATGGAAGACTCTCGAGGACAAGCTCTGTGCCTCGCTGTGATTTGAGAAATGGAGTGGATGGAGTATGCTGCCTTTGGGGTAAGGATTAATCCAACATCACGGGGCTGGACGGAGAGAGCTCAGCTGCCAGATGCAGCAGAGCGTAATCACTATTTCCAGGGCTGCTTCCTCCCTCCGCTCACGAAGGTCCCTCACACTTCAGTCTCTGTGAGCTGAAGAGAGACAGCAGAGGGAAAAAGGGGGAAGCATGCAGCATCCGTACAGGAACTTGTGCTCACATTCTCTCTGGACCCCAAAGCCTTGCCTTCTTCCCACCACAGCAGCCTGTCAATTCTATCTTGTACCTCGTGAATCAGCTATTTTGGTACAAAATGCAGGTTTGAATCCTCTCTGAAAAAGAAGGGAATCAAAGCCAAACCTACCAACACCCCATAAGTGCTTCAGCCGCTATGCAAAGGGTAAATTTTTCAGGAAGAGGAACAGCTGCTGAACTCAATACTGCTGTAAAAAGCTAAATAAATTCATCTTGTTCCTGCCAGGTTTTCCTCTACCCAACTGAGAAACTTTGACCTTTTTCCTTCCTCTCTCTCTCTCTGTATGTACTGGATATCAATTGATCCCTTAAAGCTGTAAGTAGACGACTTCTTTTTCCATGCCCCAAACTGTGGGGTTAATAATTTAAAGAGGACGGCAGTTTAGCTGCTGATAGAGAGCCTGCAAAATAGACCTGTTGGCGGCTGCTCAAATATTTATATTACGGTGGTACCAGAAATTTAGCTTGAGATAAGACCTCAGTACACCCAAGGCTGTATGTGCACGTAGCACCTATCCCTAATGGATCACAGGGAACATGCAGAGAGATTCAAGATTAAAAAAAAAAGCCGTTTTCAGAAAGCATGGAGTTCCACCAAGCCAGATGCACCCAACAGCGTTGCACAGCGGTAGGCAGCTCAGCGCACAGCTGGGCACAGCTGGAGGAGCTGACTGTGGGCTGCCTTCAGGCAGTTTGCCAGCTGCCTGCACAGCAGCCCTGTGGACGGGTGTGTATAACAGCTTTCCATCAGAGAGTCACACAGAGTCAGTGCAGCCAAAGAAATTAGGAACCCGACCCTCAAAAGTATTCAGGTGTCTAGCGCCTACTATGTGCCCCCATAACCTAAGAGGACGGGGCCTACGCAACTTGCTCAGCATCATACAGGAAGTATATGGGAGTCCAGACTTAACACTAGTTGGCCCAAATTTAGAAAGCGGAGCCTCCTTCTTAAACAATACCCTATAAACGCACCTAAGAAAAGACAAGGAGACATAACAGCTCAGACCAAAGGTCCACCCAGCCCACCGTCCTCCTGTCTCCACAGCAGCCAAGAATAAATAAGCAGAGAAAGGAACAGGGAGAGGCAATCACATGTGGTACCTCCACCTGTACCCTCTTAGCTTCTACCACTTGCTGCTCAGGGACTTCAAGGCAGAGGTAGCTATTCCTTATTCAGCAGCCCTCTGCAGGCTTCTCTCTGATGAACCTGTCTTGTTTCCCCTTGAGCCCAGGTAAACTTTTAACTCCACAACATTCTTCTCCTGCAAGGAGATCCACATTCTGCTTATACACTGACTGAACGAAGGTCCTAAAGAAAAATAGTGGTGTACCACAACAGCTCTGGATCTCTCCTGAGAAGACACTGAGATGAACTAAACAGTTGCATACTCTGCATTGCACTTCACAGAATTCAAACTTGTGAGGTCCTGTTGGGGCAATGTAGTCAGCAGAAAGAGCAGAAGCAATGGACTTCTGTGGTCCCACCCAGGTTTTGTTCCACCTGTGTCACTGTGAGGCTTTGGGCAAATCATTTCATCTCCCCACACTGCTGTATTTGCACCAGTAAAACAACAGACACAACCACCTCCTCAAAGAAATAGTGAAACAATTAATTAGTTAACGTTGTTCCAGCGCTTTCAAGAGGCAAATTAGTGCTACTTGCAGGCGAAGAGCCCTACGGTTGCAAAGCACAGGCTTATCTTTAGGGACATGGGGTCAGCACAGCTCCCATGTGCTCACCTGAAGTTACACGCTTACTTAAGTGCCTTCTGCAGATACTTTCTAATGTCTACAAGACCAGCATCTAAACAGTATCACGAAGATTAGCCAAAATGGCTGTCAAGAATATGTTTTTATAAGGGACACTCGTTACTATACAAGTAAATGCTGAAATACCACTTAGAGGCTCTGAGATAAATTTTAACCAGAGAGGGTTTCTTAGATTACCTGTGAACTACTCCTGCCCGGTGAAGATGTTCAACTGCCAGGATAAGCTGCCGGATATATTTGCGCGCTTCATGCTCCTCGAGTCTTTTTTTCTCATAGATCTTGTGCATCAAGTTGCCACCAGGGCACAGCTCCATGACAAGGTAGTAGCTGTTTTCAGTTTCCAGTATATCCAGCAACTGAGCAATGTTCGGGTGGCGGATCATTTGCTGGATCTGCCCTTCCCGTCGCAGATTCTTGGTGACATAGGTGTCCTTTTTGGCTCTTTTCTTGTCAATTACTTTCACTGCCACCTAATGAAAAAAACAGAGGAGAGAGGGTTGTTAGCAGTCACACCAATGATTTATTGCTCTAGCCTTGTATAAGAAACCTCAAAAGAAAAACTAAAAAAGAAAAAAAAAAGGATGTATGTCAGTCGCAACTGATAGACCGCTGTTTCAGGCGCAACTGCTCAGATCAGGGAAATATCTGTTTTTCCAAACGCACTGAAAATTTCTTTCTTTATTTCCTTGTATGATGACAGACAAAAGTTATTGCAAGGAAATAGCTAACAAAGGAGAGAAGACAATCTCATTAACCATACCTAAACGCTTTGCACACTAGGCATTTATTTTACTTATTTTCCCAGAAAGTCTTCAGGCTGGTGTTTACAAGTTTTAAGTGCCATTTTTGGCTTTTTCTGGCTTGTGATATACAATTTGAGATTATATGCTTCCATGACAAGTTTCTTAAACTGTAGCCAAGTGTCAGTTTGGCATGATTAAGAAGAATAAAAACATGGTATGAAAAACAAAATAATTTTGGCACCACTCTCCTGCCACATTTCTTTTTCCGCTTTTAAAACGTACAGGAAAGACGATCCCCTTGTGAATTCTAGAACTGAGCAACTCTGCAAAACCCAAGAAGGAAAAACTTCTCTCTTTTTTTTTTTTTTTTTTTTAATGCACATTCTCAGTGGCACACCTGCTCACAGATGTCCAAGTCAACTGGAGCCCATCATGAAAATACATAATAAAACTAAGGAGACTCTGTACCACAATCTATGACAAAACACGTGCTAGTACCTATCCAAGGGCTTTCCTTCTCATTGCTGGTGCAGAACATCACCTGAGAACAAAAGGATGGGACCGGCTAGGGTATTGCCCTTTTCCATGCTTAAAGAATCTGGTTCCTTTTATTGTTTTAATGGCTTCACTAAATAGTCGCAATAAGAGTATCTGCCTTTTTTCTGCCTCAGATTTATAGACACTTATTGATTTATTGAGGTTTCTTATTTAGACTGGGTGCTGCAGACTTCCAGGTCATTTGCGCCAGACAAAGATTTAACAGCTTGTGCCAGCTGAGCAACAAAAGCCACCGCGAAATCCTCCCTCCCGGCTCCTCCTCTCCTCAGAGCTCTGCCACAAAGGCACTCCTTCACCGCATGCACCCGGACCCCATAGCTTGTCCATCGTCGCCCAAGTGACAGCTGCTTGTTTGTCAGGATGAAGTGGCGGGGGGCGGGGAAGGGGCTGAGGGCCGGGAACCACGGTGCTTGGTATTCCTGCCTGACACTGAATTTCACATGATGTGAAAGAGTCTTTTTTGCATGGGTACAGGTCCAACAAAATGCACAGAAAATGCCACGATCCCTCTGTCCCCCCAAATGGAGGCACAAAGATGCTGCACCCACATCTTTGCTGTCTGCCTTGATTTGGCCTTGGAGGATCTTGAGGTACTGGAGGACACTGAGGTGCTGGAGCATGTTCAAAGAAGGGCAACAAAGCTGGCGAAGGGTCTGGAAGCTTATGAGGAGTGGCTGAGGGAACTGGGGGTGTTCATCCTGGAGAAAAGGAGACTGAGGGGAGACCTTATCGCTTTCTGCAACTACCTGAAAGAAGGTTGTAGCAGGGTGGGGGTCAGTCTCTTCTCCCAACTATCAAGTGGTAGGACAAGAGGAAATGGCCTCAAGTTGTGCCAGGGAAGGTTTAGATTGGATATTAGGAAAAAATTCTTCACTGAAAGGGTTGTCAAGCATTGGAACAGGCTGCCCAGGGAAGTGGTTGAGTCACCATCCCTGAAGGTAGACACATGTAGACATGGTGCTGAGAGACATGGTTTAATGGTGGACTTGGCAGTGGTAGGTTAACAGTTGGACTTGATGATCTTAAAGGTCTCTTCCAACCAAAACAATGCTATGATTCTATAATCTCCCACATTACTTTAGTCCTACAACAAGAAGGAATAACAAAAGTGGGGAAAACGTCAGAGTTTTATTTACTGCAGCTTTAACACCCAGACAACAGCACAAGCTTAAGAGGCTTCTCTCCATCTCCAGCTCATGCAACATCCCTTCTTATGGCCAACGAACTAACTACTCGCAGCAAACTCACTTTCAACTACAGACAACGACGTCATTACTGGGGGCTAGCGGGCTTCGGCAACAGGGAGACAAAGTTACTCAAAGCATACCTGGCTGCCTTCCTAGCTTGAGAAAGTGCCAAGCACACATCAAGCACATGACAGCTCCCAGCGTGCCTAGCCTTACCTTTATTTTTTCTGCAAGCAAAGGAAAGGTTAAATTAGAGAACATTTTGGTTTTCCTTTAGAGAACAAAAGCCACAAAAAATATGGTCTGGAAATATGACAACAAAAATAGATCTAGACCGTTTGACACAAACACCTTGAATCAAAGTCAAGTTTTACCAGCTGAGGAATTGAAAGATAAAACTATAGGAGTTGGGGCTTCATTGTCTTAAGGGCCAGAAGTCAGGATCACTGAGCACATTATTATCTGGATACATTTCTCCTGCTAAATGATCATTCTGATGAAATACTCTTGATAAAGAGATAAGGCTGAACACCACACGAGACAGCTGCTTGGGTGAAGCCCAGGGCAGAATCAGGACCATAAACGTCTGGAAGCTACATTCCTGACTAGTCACATTAAAGAAACATCATTTAGTCGTAAGAGAAAACAACAGGCAAATCAGAGCTTAACTTCACCATTTTTGAAAGCCTCAGGTGATTCACCAAGGAAACAGCCTTAAATTAGAACGTTCTTCCATCTAATGAGATAGGACCAAGAACACAGAGGCTTGCATGGATTATTTAGACAGCAAACCACAGAAGTTATTCTGGTGAGGACAAATTCAGGGGTTACAGAAACTTGAGATGCTAGTTTGTTTGCTGGCAACACACAATCTCTGCAAAAGTTTTTTTGTTTTTTTTTTTAAAAAAAAGCTGATATTTTCCACAGTTGCAGGATCCAAAACATGCAGTATTAACAGTATGGAACAGAGTAATCTGTTGTACATATCAGTAAGTCACCCCAATTCATTGACCTAAAAAAAAAAAAAAAAAAGGCAATTACTAAATGCAGGCATGTCTGCTGCCCGGGCTGAGTGCGGCTGTGGGGAGCAGGGGCAACCACCTGAACCCAGGAGACAGAGCCAACTACGTGACTACTTGATGATTTTTCCACTATCACAAAAAATTAGCTTTCTGTGCCTTAAGGACAGATTTTCTCCTCAATTTTGACAGATACTTGGTCAGGCACCCCATGTAACCCAGCGGACAAGCAAAGCCTGCTTTCAGACCCACCCCTGACTTCGAGCTACCTTTCCCTGTTCGATGCCCTTTGCGTCAGGTCCGAGAGATCCACCAGCAGAGCTGACTAAGCTGACAAAGGTGGAAACAACAGTTTTGTTTCAGCAACAGCTTTGCATAGGAGAAAGAGAAGAGTAAAACACTAAGTAAGACTACAGGGGTCTTGTATCTGCATGGGAGACGGGCAGGAAACTAGCTTCAGTGCGGTATTGCTTGATCCTGGGACACACGTGTGGGACCTTGCCTCCTCGCCTAGATCCGTGCTGCATCCCAGAAATATCTCGGACAGGTGCCTCCCCTCTCCGTCTCAGGGACTATTCAAAGGCCAGGGTCTTTAAGGAAACCTCTATATATCTGAAGAAAAAGAATTGTAGTTGACCCAAACACACAAGCGGCCTACCAACTTTCATATGGATGTTCTTCATAATAACTTCTAGCTTTTGTTCCTCTCTGTTCCTGCTGGGTGTTCTTCCTTCTTACTTCTTTCACTGTCCTCCTAGTCAATGCGCTTTCCCTTGCACTGCAGGTCTTTTTGCTTTTGCTTTCTTGTAAGATCACTTTGCCTTTCTAAATGAAATGCACCCCATGGTACAAGGGTTGTGCAAAGGCATCAGCACTCTCAGGCAGAGCCCCTGTGGGGTTTATTTGCTTATTTGGGTCTCTTGGATTGTCTTCTGATTTACAATTTTCTCTGAAGCATACGGAGGAAATCTAGGGATCAAACTCTCCACTCAGTTACTCCGGGGTTGACTTAGCTCAATATCCCCAATTTTGAGTGCATCCAGAGGTAGACCAAGGTAAGTGAAGACCGAATGTGCTCTGACGCATTTAATATACACAGCCTCCTGTACGGTGTATATGAGTGTGCATACACCTGAAAATTTCATCCATGCAGAAGGAAAAAGCATTCAGTAGAGAAAACACTGTAGATGTTAGATAACCATAAAATAAACACGTTCGAGCTTTCATAACCTACTCAAGACATGCCAGTTATTCAGTTTTGCTCTCCTAAGTTTCAAGTAGAGGCTCTTTGCCTCTGCATCATGCTTATCTCCTGACTTGAACTCTTGACCAATATTGGCACAGAAATAAAAAATAAATGACAAAGCAACTAATTACTCTGAATATGTAGGAACAGTAGCTCTTGACATTCAACACTGCTTTTGGCTAAACCTTTGCTGTGTAAATAAATAAATGGTTTAGGTTATTCTGTGTTATGAGATACAAAGATGAGTAATAGCCCGTATTTTTGGTTCACGAGTCCTAGAATTACACTGTTGGAATGAATTACTTTCCTGAAGTTTATGGTGTGACACATCATATGAGCAATGGCTGCTTCTCTCTATCGTCGCACTAAAATAGTGCAGGTTGGGCTAAAGCGGAGCGGAGTGGAGGTGAGGGGGAAGTGCAAGCACCACTCTTCTCCACAGATCCTTGAAGGAGACGGTGACATTGCTTACAGAACCAAGCAGCTGAAACACCATCAGCAAATACAGGCACGTGTCATCACCCAAACAAAGGCACGCGTTTGACACACACGGCCGGAGGATTTTTGCCAGCTAGTGTTTTAGGAGGGTTTGCGAATCTGCAAGAGAGAGGCGGGGGGGGTGGGGGTGGTGGAGCTGACTGGCACCAAACTGCACAAAAACAGTCACAGCAAGGCCCTGAGAAAAAGCCAGAAGAGATAGTTTAAAGGACCAAACGC